TCAATGTGTTCTGTGTCTAAATTCTGCCTCGATTGAGTTCGGAAAACCCCTGCCAAAAGCTTAGGTCGAGCGTGACTGCTGGCACGTGATAGAAATCTTTCAATTCCCACATGTATTCATAAAACATCGTCCTTCTGAAAACCTTTCCATTACAAAAACCAAAAATTTACGGACCACTTCCACTTTTCCAAGGACCAGACTACTTGTTCAAATCGTTAAGTACGGTGGGGTAGCGACCTTTTCAAAGCAGAGCGCGCGATTATGTTTTGGTTGTACTTCTTAAAGGCATTGTCCAGGTCAACTGGGGGTGGTAGGATGTTGACGCAGTGCGGGAGCACGGCTCCTGACTAGTGCAACAGTTCAACTTCGATTAAAAAGGGTAGATTTTGAAGCGAGAAATTCGCTTCTGAAAGAAGGGGCGGTCCGCCAATCCCGCCTCCTTGACAAGTTTTGACGTGGTTAATACATTGGATCTACAACATTCGCCACGTCAGGACTTGTCAAAGAGGCGGGGTTGGCGGACCGCCCCTTTTTTCCGGAGCGATGTTCTCGCTTCAGAATTTAATCTTTTTCAATCAGACTTGAGCTGTTGCATTATTTAGGAGCCGTGCTCTAACACGGCGTCAAAATCTCTCCATTTCCCAATTGACCTGGACAATGCCTTTAACTCACCGCAAATCACAATGGACAATTCGCCATAAAAGGTTTCTGATGAATTATGCCTACGCACATTGCCCTTGAAAATATTTTTGGTTCTTTGTATCTCTTCAAGCAATGAGATACAATGTAAAGAATTTCTCGTTTCCTTATTGCGGGCATGAACAACAGCTTCATCGCTTGACAGCTTTGAAGCTTGATTTTTACATACTTGCCTCATGTGGTGATGGCTATGCACTTATAAAGATATGTGACAACTTTATTCATGATTAAAGTTGATTGGCAAAAACGAACCATATAATTGTTTACAAAAAAGCACCTTGTTTCTGTGTGCTTATAATTTTTGTAAAATATGAGCTTCAGAGGCCAAGTAAAGAACCTTCTTGTGAGCCCCTTATTTTCTAATTTTTCGAACGTTACTGTGCGTAAGGTTTGTCCAAACATTGGCTCTAAGTCGACTTAGGAACAGTTTAACTCGTTGACGACAACGCGAATTTTCAGTTGTCTACCTTGTGGGACAATGCCTTCCACGAATAAGTCGAAAAATTTGAGCTAAAATCATGCAGATCATGATCTCTACAGCATACCTATACAAATTCTAGAAAGCAGCCAAGAAACGTCAGGTTATCCTCTAAAGTCAGGGCGTAAAAGTCCACTTGAAACGATTGTACCCAATAATTGTCACCATTTTAACAAAATTTAAGCCGTGACCCACCATGTGGGTCACATTGTCCCACGTGGCAGTCATTGCATGACCCACCATGTGGGTCAGTTGTCGTCAATGTGTTAATGTACATTCAAAGGAACTATTGCCGTGGTAATGGTGGGCATAATTTTTTTCTAAATCTTTTTTGCTTCTATTCTAAGGTTTGTTTTAAGTCCTAACACCTTTATTTTGCTTCCAAAGCTCCAAACAAGTGGAAGCAAAATGTGCTTAGGAGTTAATTTTATGATTGTGCCAGTAACTATACTACACTTTTCGATGTATTCAATCACTCGCTGCATCAGAACATGCTGAGACGTAAAATGGAATTCCTAATGGTCATGGTGCTTCAAAAAACTGTCTACTTCCACAAATCCTAATCTATGTCAACTATTAGGCGAATACTGGTGCGCAGTTCTGTAGCCCTCGTCATCATGGCCGGTAGTAATCCCCCTGACCTGGCGGCATCTTTCGCCGTCAAATCGGCGTCATCTCTACCTGAAGTCGGCGCGAACTCCGACCTCAAATGTGTGCCCTCTTCACCCTTTTCAACATGTATTTTTGGTCGAGGAGGTCATAGTGACCTTAGGGAAGCTTACCTGGGAACTTAAGGTGCTGAAAACCTCCCTAAACAGACTTATAGAGGGAGGCAGGAGGTGCTGGCGGCAGCTTCGCGAACTGACCTGGCGGCATCTCGTCGAAATTTCAGCGCTGAGAGATGGCGCCAGGTCAGAGAATAGGAAAAATAGCGTGCTCGTTCGCAGCGCGCGCGGTGCGAGTGTTTTGCGGCGGTCTGCCTGCGCTCAGTCGGCGAGTTCACGCCGGAGTTGGCAACTTTCCGTGATGTGTGCCAACTTGGCGGCTTCTTTGATGTCACCAAGTAGGGTAGATTACTACCGGCCCATGTGTTCGCTACCCTCGATCTTGCTGAACTCGCTCTTCATTCAGTCCCCCTCTCTTGCATTTTTTTCAACATTCAAATTTTTCCTTTTGCAGTTGTCTTTGAGTCACTTACCAAGCAGCACATCGAACGTCTAATTGTCTACAAGATCTAGCCTACGCTTTACAGCTTGCATTTAATATTGTCATCAGGAAATATGATCACATGAGGCATGCTTTGGCTTAGCCGTGCGAGTACGTAATTGCCCAAAAAATGCTATATTGCCGTGACTAATGGAAATGCGTCAAAACTTTTTTTGAGTGCAAAAAGTTCTGTAACAATTATCTAAATGCTATCGGCAGCTTTTAAGAAAAAGAGTCTGCACATAGTTGCTCAGGAAGGCAAAGGAATAGAGTTGATTTGTGCAAAATTTCTAATCTCATAATTTCTTACCATGACCTGAGCTCCAAAGCATATGTAAAGAAACTAACCAAGTTTTTGAGGGACCTGTCATACTTCACCGAAAAAAGCCCAAAAATGTCTAAAAAAGCCCAAACAAGTTCAAAAGCGCAGGAAAGTGCCGGAAAGCCTTCTTTTGCGCGCAAGTTTTGGCGCTAATGCATGTGTGTTGATCTCGCAGCCAAGTCTTTTTATTTCATTTTCTGACGTCTGCACATCAAAATAGTGTCAAAATTCTATTCAGTTCCCGGGGCGTTGCGGCTCTTTCTAGTGCTTTTGGGCTTTTTTTGGGGCGCTTATGGGGTTCCATCGGCGAAATATGACTGGTCCCCAAAATCTTCTCAAGAATGGCTCACTATGAGCTGGCATTATCAACACTTAGTCGAACCACAGATTCGCAATGCTCCTCTCTCTATTCACGTGCCTTTCCTCTTTTTTTGCACACGACAAATGCTTTGGGGCGTGGCGAAGTGGGCGTGGTCTGCAGAGTAAAAATCAAAGGATCGTCGTTAGTACGTAATACCTATATGCATGTACTTCAGTCTCGTGGCAGGGTGCACAATCCCTTCGTATTGCCGCATCTCTTGGCACTCTACCCTTCTTGAGTCCTCTAGGCATTCATATTCTACATTTTGATATCTTACGATTAGTAAGTACAATAACGTAGTCTGGTGGTGGTTCTATTCCTTTAAAATCCTGAAATTTCTCATGACAAAATTTGTTTTGGCGGATTCCTTGATTAGTTATGATGTTGCCTATGAATTTGCTCAAAAAATGTTTGACTGTGCTGATTTCTCCTTAACCCATAAGTTTTGATTGTGTGGCAACCTGCGAAAGAAATATGCCCATAAAACCCCATCTTATTCGTACTATACAGCTCTCGATTAAGAGTACCAAGAAGCTAATAATATGAAAAATCAACTTACTTTTGTTAGATTTTTTTGCCATTTTTAGTTATTTGCGTAGCAATGTCTTTCCATGTACGATAGCATCTTCTAGCATTCAAAGACAAGGGTAAATTCTAGGAACATCCAAATCTCCGCTAGCTTTTCTTTGTTTTTCAAAACTTTAGACTTTGCAGTGCTGCTCCAGTCATCAAAAATTTAAACTCGTATAAAACCTTTACACCTTCGCAAATTTTAAGTTTTCAAGAGATGCACTGTTTTTAAGAGATGCACTATGTGGTAGAAATTTTTGGAAAGCAGTTGAGTGGATGCTGCTGATTTTGCTCTTCATTACCTTCGTATCAAAACGTTTGTCTCTTCTCTTCTTTTCACATTTTCGAAGAAATCCTCTTTTACTAGACAATCACAATTCAAACTTTGATCTGACATAGACTTTGGCAAGCACTTTTCGCCTCTTTCTGTCTCATGTCTCCTTCACCTCCGGACTTCCCTTGGGGAATACCTAATGCACTTCACCTAACTACATACAAAAAGTACAGAAGCACCTGCGGCTGAGCGTTTTTTGAGCTTTGTGTACTTTCCGTCTGGAAGAGTTGTATACTCTACGCATGGTAGTTCATATACTTCCATACTTCTTGTTGTGAATCCCTGACACTTATCAAAGCTTCTGTGGTTGTAAGGCGAGTGCCGCTAAGCGCTTGACTTTCTAGAGTCTTTCCAAATGTATTCTAAGTCTCATTAATGCTAGAAAAGCTAAAATGTTTCTTGCGGTCTCAAAATAAATGCATTTCAAACTCTGCGCTTTCTTTTTTATATTTATTTGGCGAACTTTTTCCATTCCTTCCATTTTTTCCACCTTGTCTTGACTGCAAGCGTACTGTTTTTCTTCAGTCTTTGATTTTCCATGCTTTGGTAAGTCTCATTCTGTGTTTGTTCTCTGAGGTCTTAAAGCATTCTCCGACGTTTTCTGTCAGTTCAATTACGACTAATAATCGGTCATAGCTTCCTAAATGATCACTTTTTGCAAATTAGCGGATAACAAGTGAATTTATAGCTCTTTCTCGAAAGGCGAGACTCGCACTTGACAAACAAAGTCAGTACTTTAGTGCTTCGATAAAACAAATATAATGTATCATTTTGTTGTGAGTTGTTGTCTTTCTGTGCAGCGAAAGTACTTTGCTGTAAGGTGATGATGATTAAATAAACCACCGAATGGAAAATTTAACCTCTTGTATAATTTCTGCTGCAGCTGTCTGCACGTCTTGTTAGTCTCAGTTCGTTGATTGACATCATTGCTAAATCGCTTGTAATTGCTGCTATTTCTGCGCTGATGTATTTTTGTAAATCGTTTTACGTGTAGTAATAGCTTTTTTTACAAGGAAGTCCGTAATTGCAGATGACGACTGCAAACCCTCAACAGCCTCAGTTTACGCTGTTCCACAAGTTCAGCACCGAAGTTCGACCATCTGAATTGGTACGACGAGATGATCGTCTTCGTTCAATAACATGCTCTTTTAAAGAAATTGCAGAGTCAGAGGAAGAGGATATTCAGGTATGAGAAAAGGTCTCGAAGAATTATGTAGAGAAAGAAAATTTTTTTCTGCCCTCTCCCGCTCCTCCTTTTACTTCCACATTTTCACCGCTTCAATCTGCTGACCACTCGCTAGTTTTGATGGGATGTGGAGGCACATTCCTATGTAGTTTTGACATGAACTGCAAGTTTGCACTTATTTAAGCATCCACTGAACCCAAACAGGTGTATCCCGAAAATACGAAAATGTTTGCCGTATCTTCTAGCAAATAATTCTATTTGTTGTGATGAGTCAGTGCTGCACCAAAATCAACACTCATCCCTATCAAAAATGGAATGCAAAGCTGGTGAGACATCTCGTCTCATGCTACCATCATAAACATTTTTTGGGTTCCAAAGTAGTCAGCGATTTTTCCTTTATAGCCATGCCAATCACATGGGCATACTTTTGTCGAAGCGTAACAAGTGTCTTAATTTTTTATGTGGAGAAATCTCAACTAATGAATGACATAGCCGAATTCCTCAAAAAGGGCAAGCTGTAATAAATATCAAAATTGAGATTTGTAGGTAAAATGATACTGTTACCGAGGAAATGCTTTTCAGCTCCCAGAACGAACTTCACCCGATGGACGATCACCATTTGCTGTCGCTTTCGATTCTCCATTCGCCGAACGGCGTGGAACCTCCACTCGGAGCCTGAGCCCTAACTTCGCGAGGTAAGCAAATTCACAGCTGGTCATGGTATCCTATGCTACCCCCTTCAGAAAGCTTTCCGTACCCCGACTGTGTCGTGGGTTTTCGCATAATAGCTTGCCTGTTCGTTCGACTATGCTTGGATCTCTGAGTCCTGATAGACATAATGGTGCACCTGATTTGCTCAGTAAGTTTTCTTCATATGAATTTCGGGAAGTACAGACAAGGTCTATTGATCAGAAAAAAACCCGGAGTAGCCCGCGCGCACGAATTTACGATATGCGTGTTTTTGGGTACTTCGCCCTTCATAAATTGCACTTAATCTCTTGCCACAGGTCTGCGGACTTATCAATAAGGGGGTGATTTCTGTGCATTTTCGACAGAAAAGGGGTGTGTCTTTTTTACACCCCAACGCATTCTGTAGCGGATTTTTTTGATGCACAAATTTGATCGTCTGTGTAATGGGCTAATTAGAAAAAGTTTCTACAAAACTCTGCGTCACTTTCAATCACTCATTTCAGCACTTCCACCAATTCCTGAGACAACCTCATCATAACTGATAGTCATTTTTACAAGGATTTTCCTCAGCCGGAATTCGTCTTGTCTATTCCGCACAAAGTATCGCAGATCTACCCTTGGTGCTGGATGCTCGAAGGTCCATGGATTTTTTTATATGAACATCTTTGATCTGAATCCTTACATAATAGGAGCTCAAACCTTTTGACCATTGTTCTTCACATCTCCCGCGAAATCAAAGCAGTGACTCTTTAGCTTTGTGATCTCTTTCTAGTCTCTCCAAATTATCAGATTTCATGGTTTTTTGATTTTACGAGTACTTGCATATATTTCTTGTTCGGGTTTACAACTACTTGAGTGATTTGTAAGCGGGTTTGTTCAAATTGATGTGATTGTCAATATACTTACAATGAATTTTTGAATCTGAATTAGTTCTCGGACTAGGTTTTGTATTGAAACCCTCGCATAGCCGAAGTGTTTGGCTACTCGAGTCTATCATTTTTGAAGTTTCCTTTGTCATGGCGTAAGTCAGATGCGCGCTCGGAATTTTAACAGATGCAAGAAATTTCCTATAACTAGCAAAAATGATCATCATGGTCCAGTCCTCAGAAATATGCTGGAAACTCTCAACCAACCTATGTGAAGCAACTGAAACAGTTAAAAACAAAAACTCCTCTGTGTGACCACAGTTGACCGTTCAGCTACAAATCAAACAGTTTCTGTCCAAATCATTCCTAGCAAAGACGGGTTTTCTCGAAAAGTGACTAGCTATTCATGTGATTTCCACGCTTCCCTGCGTTAATCTGTCCGTGATCTGCCTGCTATGAATAAAACTGTTCATTGGATAAGTTTGATCGGGCTCATATATATTTGCATCTGATTGTTGTTTGTCAGCTCATAGAGTAAACAAAGTGCTATTGTATGTAGTTATGAACAATGAAGCTGATTACCAGTTTGCAGGGTTTTGGTTAGTGATTCTTTTATAATACTCAACTACGGTAAACTAAGCGATTTGTAGTTTTGCCAATTTTGATTCAAAAATATCATTTGCAAGCTGTAAAGGATGTGGGTTTACGCAAAGTAAACTTCCAGTTTTTGCATATCCTTGTAACTTCTCAAATGGCGTCGATTTATTTATGATCTACACTTTGTTGTTCTCTAGGTTTTTTTTACTACAATAACTCATATCTCTCTCTTTTTCCGTTTTCCTCATTCGAAGCTTTTTGTCACAAATATTGTTCATAAAGTTTAGTAAGTTACTAATCGCTAAAGACTTTGTTATGAAATCATGTCTAATCTGCCTTTCGATAACTCTTCATAATTTACATCTTTCTCCGAGAATCGGTAAAAATAATATTCACAATGGATGCCAAACGACTCGGAACGACTCGAGTAAATGTGCACAAAATAGAAGAACCTTTTCTGGCTGACTCACCTTCAGATCTCAAAAATCATAGAAACTGCAGAAATCTTACAAAAGTTTCTCAGAAACGTTATCTCAGGGGCTGCAGCCGAATATCCATCAGTACATGATCCAATCTCTCTGTTCATTCCAGATTAAAAAATCTCTCATTTTCAGTACTAAGGTATTCTATAAAAACAGTGACTTTTTCCTAGAAGACGAGAAATCCTCTAGCCTTTTGCGTGGAAAAAAATTTGAATTTATTCGAGTCGTCCTCCTACATCGACTATTCGCTAGAGAAAAACTCATAAGTGCAGTATGAGGCTAAGCAAAGTTCAGTCACAGCCTTCTTGCAAACTGTATTTTCCAGGAAAACTAGTTTTTTGCAAAAGAAACTTGTCAATGAAGTGTCGGTAAACAAAACCTGCTATGTGCTACAACTTCTTTTCTCGAAATTTCGTCCCAACATTACCCGCCTCGCTTATGGTTCCTGGTCCACTGCGACAGTGAAAGTGTGCAGATTGCAGACGAGGTTTTTTTCTTCAAATTGTTTTGTCTATTTGCGCTCTTCTTTCTCTACCTTGAAGGCCGATTCAAGTGTACGGGAGAACGGTGCAAGAGTAGAAGGGAGGGGAAGGGAGGGGTAGTGTTCGTATGTCTTTACGCAGCAAAGTAATCAGGTTTAACTGGACCATGCGTCGTAAGTTATTCCCTAACGTTTGGAATTGAAATGTGGTAGGTAGAGCAGAAGTATATAGCTTTGAGAGCCTTTCTGCTGATCGTCTGTAATTGTCCTGAAGCTCGGTACGCTGCCTAGCCGTAATTTATGTAATAAGTGTAAAAGAACACTTTCTTAATGTTTCCTTGCGTCATTTCTCTACCTCCCTTGGAAGTTCTTATTGTATTTGAACATGAAGCTTTTCACCGAATAACAAGTGTTTGAGGTCAGCATTCTGGAACTAAGTATTGCAGAGTTGATTAATTGATTATAGTTGAGGTTTGGAAGACTGTGTGTAATCGCACACCATGCGCAGCTGGTCAAAAAATTGTGATGCGGCACATTGTTTTTCATTTCGAGTACTATTCTATTTTCTTAGCAATTCGCTGAATGTTATTTTGTAACCAGGAAATTCTTCTATTCCTAGAATCTTTATTGTACTTATGAATACATATGGGTGGTAATTGTATCTGTTGTTCATCATAAAGACAGCATACAAGAATTTTGCGATGCGGTTATGGAAGTCGACATCAAATGAAAAAGAACTAAAGGGTAGTGGGCATGTAAATCTATAAGTGCCCTTAAAAGTAAACATTCAGAAAAACGAATTTTACCTCATACAGCCAAGGGCAAATCTTAATTTAATTTACACACTTGAACTACTCCATCCATTTACAGGAAAAAAATGCAAGTATGTACTAATATCCTTGGTATAGTGCAAGGTGCAAGTGTTATGGAACTGCTGTTAATAAACTTTCAACAAAATTTATTTACACAATTTCATCAAAAGCAGGGATGATTACTTATCATGACTTATAATAACGGGCTAAGGGTTGTTTACGTCTTTTTGTGTGTCTGTGTGTCTGTCCGTTACGAAATTCTTAGAACATGTTCCAGCCAACCTCCTGAGCCCAAATTTTGCACGGCGCATGCTAGCAGCATGAAAGTCCAATATACAAAAGCGCGAGCAAATCCGTCGAGTGGATCCGTTAAAAATTGCGCGCCAAACGGGTCCACCTGGCTTCTGTACCGCAAAATTCGGTCCGTATCACCACTTTTTGCAGAGTCTGGATGAGTTTGGTAAGCAAATGTGCAAGCGATGGAGTTTAGCCAGAAAAGTGGTCGAAAGTTTACTACATAACGAAAACGGCGTCAAAACGAATAGGTTGTCTAAATGGTCAATTTGCCAAGGTTCTAGCTAAGCGTTTGAGAAAATTATCCCACAAAGATGAGCTCACGGTTCGGTAAGTTATATGCGAAATGATGTGACTTATCGGGATAAGGTTTCTTTTCCACTTCCCCTGTTACTTTTTTAGTGCATGCAGTTTCATGAAGTTTTTGTGCAAATGGAATAACTGCGAAACTTTATCTGATAAGTGTTTCCAGCTAGGAACTCTAACAACTATCTTTATTTCTTTTTGCACCCTCTGCCTCCGAGTTTGAAGGACTTAGCTGAAGTTTCGAGGAATAGACCTGAAACGATGAGACAAAGTCTAAATTTTCAGCGACTTTATGCGCTGTTTCTAATCTTGAACTGGAGCACTATTAGCCTGGACTGTGATGATATTATAGATATCCGAATTAGTTACTAATATTCCCATACTTCCCATCCCCTTCCCCACCCCACTTTACTGATTATTCGTCCACTGTTTTACAAACGTCATCAGCGCTTTCACCAAAAACTGAATTGCTATAGGAATTCTAGGAATTATTGTATATAAGAAAACTGCTTACCCTCTTCTCGTCGTTAACAGTCGAAATCTGCTCTCTACCAGTTTTCTAATCTCCTATTTTTGCTTATCTGCACAATCTTTTCTTTGCACACTTCTTTGTTTAGAATTCAGGAGTGGATGAAATTGTCGTCCCTTTACTGCATTACTCGTGAACTCAAGCCGGTTGTAGCAGGCAATTTCCCTCTTCCCCATCCCCGCTCTCTACTCTTCTCCTCCTCTTCTTGCCTTTTACATTTAATGACCAGCAGAGTGTCTCTAAATAAGTGCCTTGTGCAGCAAACATCTTCGCCAACTCAAAAACCAAGAAAGTCACCGAAATGGCTGCTCGGACTTCTTATTCGCTAATTACTTCTCTGAAACTTCAACCTCTGATACTTGACTATAATTCAAGAGTCTAGTAAGGCAAGCAACTGTAGGCTACTCCTCGCTTGATGAATCCAGTTTATGACATCGATAATAAAAAACGTGAAGAAGCTCTAGCAGATTGAGAAGCTCTTCATCCTTTTAGGCTATCTCCGCCACCTCTCTTGCTAAACCCTAGAAGCGTTTCGCTGCAAAATTTCCTCCTTTCAAGTGAGAAGCAAGGGAAGATTCGTACAAGGATAAATCTACTACATATGATATGCTAGAAGCTTACACTTTGAATGACACCCACCACTGATTTCAAACATGTTCAAGATTTTTTTCGCTGCAAATCATTTTTTTCTTTGAGGCACAATTTTTTATCATGTCAGTCGATACTCAGAAACGAGAGATTTACAATGCTAAAGGCCCTGTGAATTTTCTGCAAAAATAGCTAAAATGAGTTTTCTAAGTATTACTCCGCAGCAAATTTCTATCCTTTCCTTGCTGATCGTTGATTGCATTTTCGTGGTAAAAACCGTTGTAAAATTACTCACTAATCCAAATTTGTCTCTTCGCTTGGTTAGATACATTTAAGATAGACTTTACTTGAATATATTTCCAACTTGGCTTCCAACGTTAGTTTTCATTCAGATGAAACTGAATCCTGCTCAGCTACTTGCTAGTGTTGGAGAATTTCGAGTTTCGACCGGTATTACGGGCAAATTTTGATTTTCTTCGCGAATTTCATGGATACTTTTCCATCGTCATCGCAATAAATTTAGTTGCCTTAACATAACCCCCTTTATTTCTAACGGAAAACTATACGACAAGAAACTGTTGACTGTCAATTCAAGAATTCGATGTAAAAATTCCGTTTTTTTCTACTCTTACAAGGAATGCTTGTTTAGTCGAAGCGGCCTTTTTTGATGTGATGTACACAATATTGGAGAGCATAAGATGCTGATTCCAAATCTGCCCTCCTTATCTACAGAACGTTTATGGACGAGAAGTTATGAGCGTTTTTTGGAGTCAAAAACTGAATGTGCAAATATGACAAAAATAACCGCAATAATTTTTCTAGCTCTTCAACCGAGCAGTGATAATCACCAAAACACTTCACTTGAAAATTACTCTAAAATAAAAATTATACCACACTTGGTTACGTTATTTGAAGGCTAGTAAGATTCTAACAACTCATTTTATTCAAAATGCACATTCAATTTTTGGCTCCAAGAACGCTCATAACTTCTCGTCCATAAACGTTCTGCAGATAAGGAAGACAGTTTTGGAATCAGCGTTTTATGCGCTTTAATATGGTATACATCTCATTTAGAAAGGCCACTTCGACTGAACAAGCTTCCCTTGTTAGACAAGCAAAACTATTTTAAGAAACCTTCCGTATTTTTATCTTGCCTGCTATCCGCACTTAATGTTTGTCGGCATTTTGATGTTAAGTTTGTTTTATTTGTTTGTTTTCGTGAGGTTTTGGTTTTTATCTCCGACTCCATTCTTGGTGTTTGGCTTATTGAAACCTCCAGTCTCCACGCATGTCGTTTCCATACGCTCTTTTCGTTTATTGCCATTTCCCAAGGGTCAGACTGCTAGGGCTTGCTCTTTTTGCCATTTTGGTTTTCGAAAATAGACATTTTATAGCTTAGAGGACATCAAATAGGAGAAACCTTGTCAACAGCAGGTCATCGTCATTCTCTCCCACGCAGGCTGTTAACTTTTCTATATAAATACAATCTCTAAGGGTACTCCACCCACTCAGAAACGTAACTAGGTTTGGTCAGCCTGCCTGCAGCCGGAAATGAGCTTCGTTCTAGCTATTTTTGCCAACTCACTTGACTCAATTATGACTAGTCTGTTACCTTACTTTTATCTCTTTATCGTTTTGTTATTGACTTCCAAATATGGTAATCAAAGTTGTAATTTTCATCTAGTTAATTAATTTACTTACCCAGATTTCCTTCGTTGCGTTCAACTTCACAAACTATAGGTGTTTCGTTTGCAATACTGCTTCTCCCAATTGATCTTTGCTATGAAAGTGTGAGAACCCCAAATAATGTTATTTTCGAGCACATTGGGTTTTCCATGATTCATTCTGGCATTTTCATTATTCCGAATGACTTCCCGTCGCTCCACTTCCGCCATTGCTACTTCCGCTAGATTTTGCAAGTCATGCTCTGGTCCTTATCTCTTCATGCGTCGTATACATGAGGCCTAAAAACTTACGTCTTGAAACTTCTTCTGAGCTAACAAGGGCAAGCCCTTCTTGTTGATGTCGTCATTTGTCGGTTTAGCAGGCTCGTGATCTCGTGCTCATACGAATTTTGAACTCTTGCTTAGATCTGTAAATAAGCGAATAATAATGAACAATTGATACTAAGTACTTGTGTTTGCTTAGTAGGTCTCAGAAATATTTAGAGTATGCATGAAATGCGGTAGGAACGTATGACAGTAATTGTGCACAAAAAACATGATATATGACATGACATTATAAGTTATATGATTTTTTCTGTAATAATAACAATACAAAAACAAAAACATGATATATGACATTATATGATTTTTTTCTGTAATAATAATAACATTATTTTTTCTGTAATAATCACATTAACATAATAACATTACATTACTCATTACCCTCATAAATATGCGATTAGAAAGAATCAAGAACTTGAAATGACTTTTAGCCATCCCATTCCATTTCCGCGATTTTCCTTTTCTGCGATAAAAAGAAACTATATTAACACATGACCATAGTTTTAAGTCCAGACAGTCTATCTTTTTTCTGTTACGCTAAGATTGGAACTTCGGAAAGTGAAGATAAGCGGTTTTCGTTTTATTTTGGCTCGTGATAAGATAAAATTTGACAGGAAGCATGACTACATAGAAGAAAAAGCTGTTATCACGACATCTGGAGAATTTTTTGATGAGGAAGCGGGTGTGGGTGGAGCATGAAAACGGCTATATAGTCCTTGTCATTGAGCTGGGTCTTCGAAGGTCTCAACCGATGTAGATATGAAGTCTCAGTCTCGGAACTTATTCCGTTTCTTTTCCTCACACTAATTAGGTTTCATTCAAAAAAAAATAGAACCTTATCTGTAGTTTCTCAATGAAATACGAAAATTGTTGACTGCATCTTCTCGATCGGTGAATTTCTGTCATTGGTTTTTTTCAAAATTCATATTCTTTGATTTTTCTGATTTGGTGTTAGTTCTATAAATATCTGAAATTCAATTGTAGTGCCTGTGCGAGTTTTACTAAATCTCTCAAAATTGCGTACTTTGTTTGTATGGCTGCTTGAATTGAGATTACCATAACATTTTTTAATTATTATTTGTACAAAAAATTGCAAATTGTCAAAGGTCCATTTTGGCAGTTAATTGCAGCTCTTTCGCATAACTTCTTAGAATAATTTTCACCAAATAAAAGTTTTGTTGTTTCATCCAAAGAATGTTCCTTGACCCATATTTTTTAAACCCCTTCAATGCAGTTCATCGACGTTTATCACTACACAGTTTAATGATAACGGATTACTCCTGAACAGGAGTCATAACGTTATAAAATCTGCTTTCGAAGGAGAACGGTCAGAAGTCGCTGTTGTTTGGCCGGAAACGGTGATAAGAGAAAGATTCGGCGGGTTTTCGACCAAGTAGGAATGAATTCTGACCAGAGTTGTTATATTTTCGCAAACCCACTTCCGTGGTAGTGGTGCTTGATCGTTCGCTGCTAATTTTGCACATGCCCAGCATTCCCTTCAGTATTTAAATGGGGATTTAATATGAGTGAATTTACTTAGCAGAATTTATAATTCAGCCCAATGTGTTCCTTGTCTGTGCATTTGTTCTGTTTCGCCTCGATTGAGTTCGGAAAACCCCGGCTAAAAGGTCATTCCCGGGCGTGGCTGCGGACATGTAAATAGGAGCAGAGTTCAAAGGCGGACTTACAAACACTTTTTGATCTTTCTCTAAGCCTGCTGTTTCCTTCCATCGCTCCTTTTCTCCAGGAACACTTGTTAAGGGTTCAAAAACGTTGAAGACAACTTGCCACTTGAATTCGTTGGAAACCTGATGCAGTTCGCCAAAAAAGGTTTCTGTTGAATTATAACCGCGCACGCTGTCCTCGAAAGGGCCATTCTACTCTTTTCGAGTTTCCAAACTAAAAGAGAAAGTATTTACTTTCGCACTGCAGGGACTTTAGCTGCATCAAATTATACTCTAGTTCGAAGCTTGATTACAGCCTTATAAGTTGATGATTGTGCACTTATAAACTGATATATGTGACATTTATTCAGTTGAAGTTGATTGACAGACATGCATCATTTGATTAATTACAAAAGTGTACTTTTGTTCCTGGTCTAGAATAGCATGTGCAAAGAAAGTCATAATAGTTTCTTAACAGCTACATGTGTCAAACACCAAGTAGAAATGCTTTTGTCTTGGGTAACTCATAATTTCTTGCCACTAGTTCCAAACAGTTTGGCAAGAACGGTTGCGTTGTAGAGTTGAAAAAGGATCACTTCTTTATTATTTTCTTCAGTGACCAGAAATTTTCCGGGACGCTCATTTTGAGCTCCCTATGAAGTTCATTACAGCACATTCAGAATGTAAGTTTTCTATCAAGACGTGCCAGGAGATAGACTAGATTTTCTAGTCATGTATGGTTCAAAAAACTGTCTATTTCTACAAATTATAAATTCTGGTTGTTCGTTATCATTTGAAGCTGAACGCTTTATTATCTTCCCAAACCCCCCCCCCTCCTTTAAATCGAATTTATGAGATAAAGCTGCTAATTTGAGAATCTCAATAGTACAAAGACGCATATTTCTCGCATGTTCAAATTTACAGCTTTTGATAGGTACGTGATTAACCGAACTGCTATTATAAGGGCAGGCTTTGGCTTATCCCCTCTAGTACGTATTGTACGGAAATTGCTAGATCGCTATGACTTACATGGGCAATGTCGTCGGAATGTTTTTGGTTGTAAGTAATTTTGAGGGAATTATCTAAATGGCATGCGGCAGGTTTGAGATTAAAATTCAAGAAAACTATACAACTTATTTCCTTGGTTTAGGAAACTGTTTCGAACCCTCAAAGCATCTCAATGAGAAAAAAAATCATAATTTTAAACTCCAAATTCTCAAGAACAGTTCATTATAAGCTGTTCTTGAGAACATTATAGCGCCCATAACCGTACCATAAATTCGCTAGAGTTCTTTGTTCACGTGCGTTCTTTTTTGCACATGACAAATGATGGAGGGCGTGGCGAAATGGGCGTGGTTTGCAAAGTAAAAAAGGATCGTCGCTAGTACGTAATATTAGGTTGTAACAGAATTAATGCAGGTTTTGAATTCCAACCGCAATAAGCCATACACTTCTCATTTCTAAGTAGGTTGCAAAATACCATTCGGTAGAGCAAACCAATCTCTACAAGGTGGCAATTTTGCTTTAGCAAAAACTCTGATCCACCACGAGTTTCGAGCCAAAAACTAAAAAGATTCAACTGTCCGAAAAATTGAGAAAAATCGTAACTCAGTTCATAAAAAACCTACAAAAATTCTAACTTGCTCACGTAAACACTATTCACATAAGACATCTATACACGCCTTTGCCGTATTTTTTCTCTGTTAGAAATCAAGAAAACGGAAATTTTTGTACTTTTGCCAAAGTGATGCTGTGCCGTTCCCACATAAGTAGTTGTATACTACGAACGCGTAGAAATAAACGTGAGTTTCCAGCTCTCTACAAGCTTTAGTTCTCGGAAAATATCGAATACAGTTTTCGCTAGTCATGTGGTCCAAGCTAAAATTCAAATTTCTCGAGAACTAAAGCCTGTAGAGAGCTGAAAGTTTACGTTTGTACTTCTACAGCTTTGTAGTATACAACTACTTATGTGGGAACGGCACAGCAACACTTTGGCAAATGCACGAAAATATCCGTTTACTTGATTTCTAACGGAGAAAAAATACGGCAACGGCGTACATAGATGTCTTATGTGAATAGTGTTTACGTGAGCAAGTTAGAATTTTTGTAGGTTTTTATGAACTGAGTTACGATTTTTCTCAATTTTTTGGGTAGTTGAATCTTTTTAGTTTTTGGCTCGAAACTCGTGGTGTATCAGAGTTGTTGCTAAAGCAAGGTTGCCACCTTGTAGAGATTGCTTTGCTCTATCGAATGTTATTTTGCAACCTACTTAGAAATGAGAAGTGTATGACTTATTGCGGTTGGAATTCAAAACCTGCATCAATTCTGTTACAACCTAACACTAATATGTGTGTACTTTAGACTCATGGTTGAGTACATAATCTCATCGTATCGGCACATGTCTCAGCACTCCACCCTTCTTAAGTCCTTTAGGGACTCACATGTATATTCTGGCGTCTTATTAGGTGCGATAATGTAGTCTGGTGTAGTTCTAATCCTTAAGAGTACTCAAATTCTAATGACATATTTCAACGGCCTTGTTGTTTACTGATAGGATCGCATGGAAATTATAAGGCTAGAAAATGTTGTTTGTACTAAATTCTTCCCTTCTTCATGAGTTTTAAATAATCTTTTTATACCCAGCACGCGGCAGAAATTTACTCACAAAGTCTCATCTGTATGGAATGTCTTGCATGAATAAAGCTTATGAATCGCTATGACTTTGAAATTATCCCAAGATTTTTTTGCCGATTTTGGTTCTATTTTCCTTGGCAGTGGTTTTCTTTCTCAAATATCCTTTTTTCCGTTTTTGAAAAAAATCTCGTTTTCGAATATCCATGCACATGACCGCGCTTCTCCGTTTGGACAAAGCTAGAAAATATGCTACAGTCATCCAAAGTACTCGTACAAAACCTCTATAGCTTCAGATCTATCTCCTAGCGATTTAAGTCTACTTGAGGGAAACATACTTTACCGTAACTGAGCAAGCTCATTAACGCCAATTCTCTTCCTCAAATTTTCATGCAGGTTTTTTCTCTTCATTTCTGAGGCACATCTTTCCCAAAACTGTTTTCCTCTCAATCATCTTTCGAAAGTTTTTCTGCAAAAGTCTTACTTCTCTGGTAAGCACTTTTTGACACCTTTTGTCCCTGTCTCATTCACCACCGGAGTTCCCTTGGGGTGCCCTTCTTTTCTGGAAGATACTGACCGTTCTACGATGTGGTAGCTCAAGCACTTCCACACTTCTTTTTGGGAAACCCCGACACTTGTTGAGAGCATGTATGGTTATAAAGCCTTACAGGGTTTCTAGGCGCTCTACACCTTGTATCCCTCAATCTTTGATCATAATCTTTTATTGTTTGAGGTTTGTTTTAGCTGAAATATTTCATCCCAGCTTTTCTCACCGATTTGTAAACGGCAAAACTGCCTATTCTTTATTTCAATAATTTCACTCTGTGATTCTTCTTTGAGGCAGCCCTCTTCGACGTTTTTTGTCAGTTCAATTACAACTAATAATCGATCATCGTTTTCTAAGTGATCACTTTTTGCAAACTAGCAGATAACAAGAGAATTTAGCCCTTCCTCGAAAAAGGGAGACTTGCACTTTTTAAATATAAAATCAGTAGTTTGATGCCTCTCTAAAAGAAATATGATGTATCATTTTGTTGTGGGATTGTTGTTATTGTGTGTAGCGAACATTCTTTGCTGTAAAGTAATGGTGAATAAGTAAATTCTGAATGGAAAAGTTAGCTTTCCTTGTTTTTTTTTCCTGCTGCGCTGTCTGCACATAGCAGTTATGTACTTCGCTGACAGCATAGGCTAATCGCATATCTGCTATTTTGCATTGCTGATAGAACTCTCCTTATGGTAATGACAACTTTATTCTCGCAAAAAAGTCTCTCATGTCCTCAAATTATTCCATGCTCATGTCGTTGTTCGCGTATAGACGCAAAAGGAACGTTCGCGTTAGGTATAATGATAGTTTTAATTCTAGAAAAGTCCGTAATTGCAGATGACAACTGCAAACCCGCAACAACGACAATTTACTCTTTTTCACAAGTTCAGCACAGAAGTTCGACCATCTGAGATGGTACAACGGGATGATCGAATTCGAGTGATGGCATGCTTATTTGAAGAAATTGCTGAATCAGATGAGGAGGATGTTCAGGTAAGGAGAAAAGTCTCAAAAATGTGAGGACGAGTGCCTCTCACCCTTTTTCCTTCAGTCTCAACGCGCTGATATTTTTTTCTTGGAATGCTGCCAAGGAAGTAGCGTATAAACTTGACTAAAAACCAAAATTGTTGATTATCATAACTTTATTTTCGTGAAAGGAATCAGGTTTGTTGTGATGAGTCAGTGCGCCGCTAAAATTAACAGAACATTCTTATCAAAAATGGAATGCAAAACTGGTGAGACATCTTGTCTCGTGCTATCATCATCGAAAATTTTTTAGTTCTAAAATGGGCAGCGAATTTTCCTTTATGACCATGCCAACACATGAACATACTTTTTGTAGAAACGTAACGGATGTCTCAATTGCTTTGTAAGGGCACATCCCATTCAGTGAAGGACATGACCGGATTACCCTCTTCAACAAGGGCAAGCTGTAGTAACAATGTTAAAAATTCCTTGGCTTTTTTTTGTAAAACAAAAGAAATATTTTCGATAGGAGACAATAATGTCTAGAAAATAAAGAAAGAAAATGCCGGGGAGGTACGAGCTAGCTGGTGTTTCAAAATCACATAACTGAGTTTTTTTTTCAGTTGAAGTGATACTGTAGTGAAGATATACTATTCAGCTCCCAGAACGAACTTCACCGGATGGGCGATCACCATTTGCCGTCGCATTCGATTCCCCTTTTGCCGAACGGCGCAGAACTTCCCCTCGGAATCTGAGCCCTACTTGTGCGAGGTACCCAACCTTGTTAACAGTAAGTACAGTATCCTACAATATTTTCTTCAGGAAACTCGCCATACCTCGACTATGTCGTGGATGTTCGGATTCGTTCCTAGGCCGCCGACATCCAGTCATTTTCGGATCTCTCAGTCCCGAAAGACACGATGCGGGTTTGAATTTTTTGAGTAAGTTTGTTATTGAGAGAAAACGAAATTTTTTGCATTATACAAAGAGCGTGCCTCAGTTTCTCATATTTGAGTAATTTTTTCCTCTAATTTGAAAAATCTAGCTACTCATTATAACCAAGTGCTCGACGCAAAAGAAAGCTTGATTCGTTTCTCGTTGTCAAAGTGTTCGTCTATTGATCATCAACCAAGAAACCAACAAAACCATTTACTTAAGAATGGTCTCATTGACTAATTTAGTATATTATTTCAGCCCTTCCATCAATACCTGAGACAACATCATTGTGATCTGACCGAAGTCAAGATGGAAAATCTAGCCGGGATCCGAATTTTCCCCATTCGCTCAAATCTCAGCTGATTGCCAGCTAACTAAGCCTGTGTCCAGTCGCGTTGATGAATTTTCTATGGCAAAGTCTCTGAACTCATCAAAAGATTTCTTGTCTTTGTGATTTCTCCCTTGTCTTTCTTTCTGATTAAACTAATCCTGTGTGCTTCTGATTTCAGCCTTTATAAGGTACCGTCTATATTAACAGATTTTATATTTATTATCTGGTTTTACCAACTTTTGCATGTATCTCTGTGTAGTGTCGATTCTTCGGGTTTGCAAAGCTAGAACCTTGAATAATTTGTAAACGGGTGAAATGATAAAAGTAATTGTTATACTCTTAATAAATTTTCACAAATCGGCGGTTTGTGTAAGAAAGATTCATAACGAGTACTTTAACTTACTTTGTGCTAGAACTCTATGTGGAAGTATAATTTCTCATCTAAATCGGTTCACAGACTAATTTTCGTAACAAATCTTCGCATAGCAAATATGCAGAACTCCTCCTCACTATTGTGATTTAAATTTTGATTCAAATCTGCTCTCTTATATTGCTCATCTGTACTGCTCTGGTGCTCTTTATAAATGCAGGTATTCTCTTATAACTGGAAAAAATGACCATCGATGTGATCTAATTTTTGAAATAAGCTAGCAGTCTTTAGCAAACTGCATCTGAAGTAATGATAACAAGTAAATTTTTCTCCTAATCAAAGTAAATTCATTTTTGCAAATCCATATGAGACTAATTCCTTATTGTGTGGTGTTATTTACCGTTTAGGTAGAAATCTAACCAGTTTCTGGCCTAAGTGTTTGCAAGGAAAAATGGAAATCTTCTGACAATGCTAGCTTGGTGAGATTTCCACGCTTCCCTGCTTTATTCTGTCCATAATCTGTCTGCTGGGCATAAATCTCATTAAATCATTACAAATTTGATCTTGGTTACATATACATATTTGTATGTGATTGTTGTTTGTCAGCCCATAAAGTAAACAACGTGCCATTGTACTATGAACAGGGCTGATTATCGGTGTGAATACATCAGAGTGTACGTGTCACACTCTTTTGGTTTAGTTGTTATTGACAAATACTCAGCTATGGTGTGTTGAGCGGTTCGTAGGTTGTCAACCCTGATTCAAACCGATTTCATTGTCACAGTTTTAATAAGAGCTGAAATTTTATTTAGAGAGGTAAGCTTTCAACGTCTGCAAATTCATTCTCATTCCCTCTCATTTTTCGAAGTATCTACTCAGACAAGTGACCGGGACTTCCGCAGAAACTTTGGAGAAGTTCCGCCAGGTCACCTGCGGTCATTCTTCCGTAGACATGCTGCGCAACTTCCCAAAAAGATGCTGCGGAAACTCCGAACAATGCGAACCACGGCAAAAAAAGAACACCTAATCCTGCGGAAGTTCCGGTGAATTGTCTGAGTATGATCTGCACTTTGCTATACTCTATTTTTTCGCACATTATCCTATCATAGTTTCTCTTCCACTCCGCTCAGCTAAAGCAATTGATATCAAAAATGTTTATGAAGATACAAATAGTAGATGTAACACTGCTAATCGCTCATGATTCTACCAAATATTCTTGGTTATTTGCTCCTTGCTTGGATTTTGTATGGACTGTTACAAACAAACAAACTGGTGCTTTTCTTTTGTCACTGTAAACCGATCCACTTATGCGAAGGTCACATCCTCAAGGACATGGAATTCTTGCTACTCGTGTAATTTGGTGAATTGTTCTCCACCTTAGCTCCAATCGCAAATTTATCGCCTTTTCATCTATTCTTCCGTTCGTTCACTTATATTGACATTGACTCTACAATCATTTTCTCTCGTACTATGATTCGTTTTCGCCTTCATCTGTCTGATTGTCGCCACAAACAACCCTCCATACATTTCCAAGTCATTTCTCTCCCTCTTTCTTCACGACAAGCTCTTTCTGATTAGCAACTACTTCCGGAGACTAAAAAATCGACATATGACGGATCTGAAGCAGTTCGCCTACGATTCTCAAACTGTGCTCAAAAAATAGAATAGCTTTGTTATGTTATTCATTCTCGAGTTTCAAAATACAAAAGAAACTACAAGAATTACACAAAAATTTTCAAGAATGTGCTCCTCAAAAGTTGAAGCCGATCAACAGTGCGTTTTTCTGCCTTTCAGTGCGCCAGCTACAAAATAGAAGTGATGGTTCTACAGTTCGCGACGATAGGCCTGTCTAAGCCGTGCGAAAAAACTTTGAACTCATTCTAGTCGTCCTCGTACATCGACCTATTCTCTAACAAAAAACTTGTGAGTGTTTGGATTCTAGACAAAGTAATGTTTGGTTTGAGCGCTCCTTGCATGGTTTTGAACAACAATGTTTTCCACAGAAATCGTTCATGCAAAAGTTTCTTTTCATTGAAGTGTCAGTAAACAAAACGTGCAAATGTGCCACGCCTTCTTTTTTCGACATATCCGACGTTGAAATGATGCATTTTGCAGACTGACCTATCCTTTCAATTACTCCTTCCCTATTCAAATTCCAACCTCTAAGTCTTGAACGTAGTAATTGTATGCGGGAACACTGCGAGTCTAGGAAATAGGGAAAGGAGCAGAGATGAGAGGGGAGGTGTGTTTTTTGGACAGTTTTGCTAGGAGATCAGGGTGAAATGTTGGTTGCTCGTTGTCCTGCACAGTTTATTTTTACAGGTTTAATATTGCATTACACAAAGTGGGGCGAAAGTATAGCTGATCGAAAATTTTCTGCTGCGATCGTTTGTAGCCTTCTGAAAGTCAGTGCGCTGCCTTTTCGTGCAGAGTTTATGCAGTAAGTGTAAACAAACACTTTTTTGAAGGCAGCGGCTCGGGAAAATTGCGAGTGCGGGCTTTTCGCACATATATGGCCTTCTGGATCCCTGAGTTCGAGACTTTGCTTAAAAGAACAAAAGAATGCTTTTTCGGCGTTTTCCTCCCTTGGAGATTGCTGAGGGGCTGGGCAGGGGATTCTCACTAAAAACAGCGATTGGTTGCTGGTGTAACCTCACCCATTTAGGCGACAGTTGGCTGATCGGCTCGACAGCCAATCGCGACTCACTTGGCGATCGTTCGCCCTCCCTTCCAGCAATCTCCAAGACCGGAAAACGCTAAAAAGTACTTTCACTTTTCAAGCACAGTTCTGGAATTAGCGCATCCAGAAGGCCAAAAAGGGATGGAAAGCTCGTAAGTGCAATCTCTCCGAGGCCTTCAATGTTTTTTGCACTATTCTCCCATCTCCTCTGAAAGTTTCTTTTTATCTAAACACGAAGCATCTCAACCAAAGAACAAATGCTTAAGGTCAGCAGCAGTATTCTGAAGTAAAGTGTTAGAGGTTTGATTTTTCAATTATAATCAAGGTTTTAGAAAGCTGTTTGTGATCGCATACCGTATGCAGCTGTCTATAAACCTAACCATTCAGATAGACTTTCATTTAGTGTACTACTGTAACCAGAAAGTACTCCATTTACTCCTGGAGTCTTTACGGTACTTAATGAATGCATGTGGGTGGCGATTGGAACTGTTGTTTTTCATAGAAATAGCATGCAATATATTGGTGTCGATGAAAAGAACTAAAGGGAGGTGGGCATGTGAATCTACGATTCCCCTCAAAAGTAAACATTCGGAAAAATGAGTAGACCTCATACAGCTACATTGAGCTCCTAACTCATGGGAAAAAAACGGATTGCGACAAATTTTTCCGTCGCGACATATTTTTTTTCGCAAAACCGTCGCAATGCTATAACTTTTTTGAATCTAGTTTTCAAAAGAAACTGAGACCATCACTGGATTGCTGAGTACGTAGCGATTCAGAATGACTGTTGAAATTCTGAAAATGCTTTTATTTGATCTACCGCGACGTATTGTCGCGACAAAACCGTCGCACCGAATTAAGTTGCTTGAATATAAGTTTCATGGAGTAAAAAGTAGATTTTTGGACTCCTGGCAGAATTCTGACTTAGAAGATGCCTCAAAAAACCAAAAAAGCTTCTGTACGAAGCATTTAGTGATTATTTGAAATATTTTCATCAAATTTAGGTCAAATTTACGAAAAATTTGAATAAATCGCAAAATTTATATCAGAAATCGACAGCAATGAGCATTGCGTTGTCTCGTTGATAATTTCGGATCACCAACTATGATGCAGGCTGATTTGGCCTTTCAAGAACAACCTAGCCTGCAGACGCGAACTGTCGATTTCAAGGCTTCATAATTTTCAAATTCATGCAGCCTTGTTCAAATACCTTCACTATCAGTAGAGTACAAGGACTCTTCCAACAAATCAAGGTGAGTGTAGTCTGTTATATGGAATGCCTTCCAAGATACATGTACTTAAACTGAGGTGCGCATGCATCGCTGTCATTATGGTGCCACATTATCGAGACCGTATTGCAGGCAGTCGGTCAGTAAAATAGCCGAAACTTCATCCACATCTGAAATGGTGTTTGCTATTCAAGACTTTCACCTTCGAAAATGTGATTTGGAAATAAGAAGTGTCTGATGGTTTCGGGAAAAGTGCAAATGTCAACGATAATTTCACGAAATTTTCACGAATTTCATGTCGTCTTAGACTTCGTAACTTCCACATAATCTGAATCTACGCAAAAAGTGCTTCTAGAAAATGTATGAATTAAATATCTTAGCAACCCTAAATATCCCTTATTTTTGCTTCTTTCCTGATTACGGCTGCCATACCCCTAATTGGGTGCTCCTGCACCCAAATCTCTGCACAGTTGGATTCGCACCTAAAGGCATGCGATCGCGGCCTAGCTATTTGAGAAAGAGAGAATTCGAATCAATCCGCTCCAGGCCTTACTTTCGAAGTGCTCCTGGAAGAACCAATTACCAAACTAGATTTAGCTGAAAATTGATAGCATGAACATACTGTCAGAATTTCAATTTCTTATATTAGACTTACCATCTTCACGAAATATTTAAACATTCAT